GTCCATGAGGGTCTATCCTTATATTATGTCTATGATGGAGCCTGTGTCGTTCGGCGCTGCTGTTGCTCCTCCTACACTTTGGACTGAACCATTGTTCTAATAATGGTGGGGGGAACCTGAAAATTAATTCTTATTTTTTTCTTAGATGAATGGCTGATTTACGTCGTTCTTTGTTTCTATTGCCTTTCTTATATTGATATTGTTTAAATATAAGGGTTTCTTTCATGATTTCTTTTTTGGGGGACAATTCTAGACTTTTCCAAGATTGGGGGGTGTCTGGACCCCCGTCCCCCCCGGGATTTACGCCACTCCCAGCTGGGACCGGGTCGGCTGGGGGCCCGGTACAGCAGGCTGATTCCTTCTGAGGATTTTCATTTTGTGAATTCCTGTTATGAGTGGAAGTCAAAGTATGTGAAAATAAACTAATAAAATCTTGAATCGTTTGAGCCGACATGATCTGTAGATCTGTCAGTTACTGGAACGGCCCCAGAACTCATCCAGGTTTGATTCTGGTTCTGGACCCGACCCGGTCTCGGGGTTCCTCTTGACTCTACTTAGCATGATCCGTGTTGACAGGTGCAGATGCCCCGCCCACTCCCACACCTTCCATCAAGGTAGGCTTTCCATTGGTCTGCATGTTGACCAGATCCAACATGACCAGTCCAGCAGAACCTCCCGGTTCTGATCCGTGTGTGTGTGTAGGAGCGGCAGCGGCCGGCGGGAGGAAGACGGACTACGCCTTCGAGGTAACCTGGACTGGAACCGGGCCGGGTTCTGAACGGATCGGGTTCTGATCTGTCCCTTGGTCTCTGTCAGATGGCCAGCTCCAACATCCGCTACGGAGCCGGGGTCAGCGCTGAGGTCGGCATGGTAACCACTTTCATCATCATCATCATCATCACAGCGAGCTGAGGACGGGACAGACCAGAACCAGAACCAGGCTCTATGTCCAGAAGGAGGAGCTGCAGCACAGATCTGTTAATTTAAAAAAAAACATTTGATTTTTTTAAATTTAGATTTAAAAAACATCAAATAAAAACAAACTAAATGTAAAATAAAAAATCTAAATGGAGCTGTAGATTTTTGGTTTCCTTCACTAAGGAAGTCTGGTCAGAACCAGAACCAGGTCAATACTTGGTCTCACCTGGGATCCGCCTCCAGGTTTCACATGCCAGGTCCGTTTGCAGGATCTCCAGAACCTGGGAGCCCAGAACGTGTGCCTGATGACAGACCGGACCGTGACCCGCCTGCCGCCCATGCAGGCCGTCCTGGAGTCCCTGGTGAGGAACCGAGTCCGTTTCCAGGTGTTCGACGACGTCCGGGTGGAGCCCACCGACTCCAGGTGAGACCGCTAACAGGACCGCACCAGGTGCTAACAGCTGCTAACAGGTGGAGCTTCTTCTTTCAGTTTTAAAGAAGCAATCTCGTTTGCGAAGAAGGACTCGTTCGACGTGTTTGTGGCAGTGGGCGGCGGGTCCGTCATCGACACCTGTAAAGCCGCAAACCTGTACTCCTGCCATCCTGACGCCGACTTCCTGGACTTCGTCAACGCTCCGATAGGGAAAGGCAGGCCGGTGACCAGAGCTCTGAAGCCACTCATCGCAGGTTGGCCTCGCCGCCTCGGGTCGGGAGGTTCTGATGCCCGGCTCACCGCTCTACTTTCCCTCTCCAGTTCCAACGACCGCAGGCACCGGCAGTGAGACCACCGGGGTCGCCATCTTTGACTACGAGCCTCTGAAGGCCAAAACAGGTGAGAGCTGTCAGAACCTCGTGTGATTGGCTGTCTCTGAGCCGTGATTGGCTGTTTCTGTCCAGGTATCGCCAGCAGAGCGCTCCGACCCACGCTGGGCATCGTGGACCCGCTGCACACTCTGAGTATGCCCGAACGAGTCGCCGCCAACAGCGGCTTCGACGTACTGTGGTGAGGAGGGTTCTGGTTAGAGCGGGTCTTACCGGAGTTACCGGGTTCTGATGGGTCGCATCTCTCCAACAGCCACGCGCTAGAGTCCTACACCGCCCTGCCCTACAGCCAGAGGGCGCCCTGCCCCACCAACCCCATCAACCGGCCCGCCTACCAGGGCAGTAACCCCATCAGCGACGTCTGGTCCCGCCACGCCCTCAGCGTGGTCTCCAAGTACATGAAGCGGTAAACAGACCGGAACCTTCCAGAAGTTTTCCTGAAGCTTCACTGAAACTCTTCATGTTGGAATGGAAACGTTTCTGTTGAGATTTGACCCTATAACCTCAAAGTCCAGAGGAAGTTTCCCCGCCGTTCTGCATACAGGTAGTGCAGCTCTGGTTTCTGCTCAGGGCGGTGCGGGACTCGGAGGACTTGGAGGCTCGCTCCAGCATGCACCTGGCCAGCGTGTTCGCTGGGATCGGCTTCGGGAACGCCGGAGTCCATCTGTGGTGAGCTGAATGCCGCCGCCCTCAACGCCGCCACCAGATTCAACCTGCCTGTGTTTTTGTCTTGGCAGCCATGGGATGTCCTACCCCATCGCTGGGAATGTGAAAACTCACACAGCCCGGGGCTACAGCGTGGAGCACCCCCTGGTGGTGAGACACGGAGTGTAAATTATTCCTGATCTCCTGCCAGCCTGCCGCTTCAACGCCTCTGTGTGTCTGCAGCCTCACGGACTCTCCGTCGTTCTGACGGCGCCGGCCGTCTTCAGCTTCACTGCACCCATGTGCCCAGAGCGCCACCTGGAGGCTGCTGAGATCCTGGGTAGGGAGGAGGGGGCTCTGGGTCACACTCACAGTGACGGGTCAGAGGTTAAAATCTCTGCAGTACGTTCAGGTGTCTCTCTCTGCGGTGCGTTCAGGTGCAGACGTGCGGCAGGTGAAATGTGCGGACGCCGGCGCCGTTCTGGCTGACACGCTGCGCCGCTTTCTGTTTGACCTTCAGGTGGAAGACGGACTCGGCGCCGTCGGATACGATAAGGACGACATTCCTGCTCTGGTGAAAGGAACGCTGCCTCAGGTGAGCTGCTCACCTGCAGCTCCAGGTGCTTCGTGGCGCCTTTAAATCACTTCCTGTTCCTGTTGCAGGAGCGCGTGACCAAACTGTCTCCGCGGGCGCACACCGAGGAGGACCTGAGCCGCCTGTTTGAGACCTCCATGAAGCTGTATTGATCCTCCTGGAGCCACCAGGGGGCTCCACCTTCATCCTGCAGCTAATTAATCAGTATTTGACCGGGTCAGAACCGGGTCAGAACCGGTCTCCAATGAATTGTGATTTAAAGCTTCATGAAAAACAGATCCAGAACTTGAAGTTCTGAAGGAATCAAGTGATGATTTATTGGGTCAGAACCGGGTCGGATCAGGACCGGTCTCTATTGAATCGTGTTTTAAATCTTCAGTGATGTATTCATGAAAAACAGAACCTTAAGTTCTGAAGGAATCATGTATTGGACCGGGTCGGATCAGATCCGGCTGTTTTTATGATTTTAACTTTTGATCAGAATAAAATCTTCTGAATCTGCTTCCTGTCTGGTTCTTTAATCTGAGCTTAATTCCAGGTGTTCATGGAGCTGAAAACCTTCAGATTATTAATCCGTCCAGGTTTCAAGATAACTCAGGTTCTGGTTCTGGAAGCGGTGGACTGGACTGGGTTCTAGCTGTGAAGCCTCGTCTGAAGGACAGAGTTCTGGGAAAGCCCTAATCCGCCTTAATATGATCCAAGAACAATC